GCATTAAATGTACACGAATCTGTTGCTGCCAGATTTGCCGGCTACACCAGGCGAATCATCACATCCCATGGGAGCTAGAGGAATAACTGGACTTTATTCGTAATTCTTGAACGAAGATTGCCGAGATTAGACTTCAGTAGTGTATCTACTCAGAGTGACGGCGAAAGACTAATTTTTTCACCTGCTACCTGACGAATGTTACGGTAGGTATGATATGGAGAGGCCTTCACATAAGCTCTGCAATGGGCATTCAAAACGACTCCCAAAGATGTCGCAATATGTAAGTGCATGCGCAAGGATCATTCCAGACACCTAACACTTCCATCAAAAACTATGTTTACGGCTAGCTAACAAGATTTAAATACAAAACGTTCGTCCCCACGTCATGTAAAATAGGACGAACTTTGTTAAGCAGTCACCAGAGATTGACTATAACATCATTTAATCTATCTTGGCTCGCCGATACATTGAAAAGAAATGTTTCCTACCAGTACCACCCTATGTACGTGTATGGCCCATTTAAAAATTTCAGCAATGCATATTCAACCACCTATAAGCTACGGCCTGCCTGTAACCGCTCGAAAGTGCCATTATTCATGGAATCATCTCGTTACGTCTCTTTTCTCCGAATTATGATGTCAAAAATGAATGTAATGCAAGACGCCAATTGCACCAAACACGTTGCGGTGTATGCGGTCTTGTGAGTCGCTTTTTTGCAAGACATAAAGATGGCTAAGTACGACAATTGGTAACTGTACATCAATAACTACAACATAATTGTATGGAAACAAATAGTCCCAGCATTATTCCTTACTTGTAACTAGCGCGATAATAGAGTTAAACTGTACAATACAGCGTGACCGAACAAGAAGCTGAAATTTTCTGTTCAAAAATCTTACCTTGAAAACAAAGCTGCGACTGATTCCCTGCACGTTCAGCTCATGCAACTGTACCATCCTGCCGAAAGTGATAATACCAACCATAGCGTCAGCAGGAAGAAGCGAGAGAGCTGTCTGAATACAAAAGTTGAGAAAACTGCGATGAACGTGGGAAAACTTCTACCCGTTTGAAAAACACGACCTATTTATTACATGTACTATTATAAAAGCGGAATCAACTCCGAAAACTTCCTCAAAAAATGCGAAAAATCAATGGAATGCGAAGTTAACACCAGCCCTTTAGGCATACACAAGTACAAAGATATATAATTCGTTAAAATAAGATAAATATCATTTCACAGTTTAAAAAAAAGATGATCCAGCAAGGCTCGTGGGTTTCGGAGGCTTCAATTTAGAAAAGCGGTTTTTTTAATAACACGAAAATACTCAAGACGGTAATATCACCTAAGGCAACTTATTACAACCACGAATAACATCATAACCATACCTGCAGGCTTTCCTTCAAGGCCTTCAGCTCTTCCGAAGTCATGCAGGTGTCCACAACAAACATGAAAATCGGTGGCATAGTCGTGGCCTTCTGAAGATTACCATTAATTAGAATCAGGAAAGACATGAACGAAAGCTCCAACATGTTCCAAAAACTCAAACAGCGAAAAAAAAAATCGACATTAGAAAATGACGCTTAAGGAGGAACCCACCTTCAGCGTGTACTCAATTGTAGTGAATTGAGGATAAAGCTCCGGTGGACGGTTATCCTCTGCGATAGCTGCATAGTGGGCAGGGAACGGATTTCTTTGGTTACAGAACGGGCAAACCCACGTCTTTGCTCGGAAGTCCACGAAACTGAAACACAATCGCCTTATGAAGAAATCTTCGTTTACTACACCACTGTTATTTTAATAGCGATGTCTCTTGAAATATTGGAAATTCATGAGTTGGAGGACGTGGATTTAGACTTTAAAAAACCATATCTTTGAAGGAGATCAATTGAGTTCAGTGGGGGTGATGAGACAGAGTATTCGAAGCGGAGCCCTATTGGCCTGCCACCTTCACTTATAACAAGAACAGGGTGGGTGGTGGCTGCTCCTCTTCATTTCATATTAAGGTCCTCACTTAGATAATAGGTAACACGGTCTTCTATTTTCTTCTACAAGGTTAGCTACGTGCGCAATACTAATAGGCGGTTCGCTCAAAGCCGATAGCTTTTGAGTTTGTTGAAAAATTTCGACTCAACTTACAATTTTGATAGCCGTTAGATTCACAAAACTGAGAAAGGGGGAAAGGCTGGCATATTTCCTGTGTTCAGGAAAGCCGATAGAAAATTGAAAAAAAAATGCAATTACTCAACAAACACTGAGCCGGAAGCCATATGGGAACTTACAAGAAAAGTCGTCCAGGACAAGGAGCGCTTTTTCATAACGGTTTGTTGCATGCTATAGGAAGCATGTGTGGAAAATGAAACTGATGACCATTTCTTTCCAAGCGGCCCAGGGAATACCAGGCAAAGGGCAGAAAACTTACATTAAGAAGAAGAAAGTTGCCTTTTTTATATACTCGAAATATTATTAGGTTGTCCCATAATTAGTGAATCACTTTGGGTATTTTTGAATTCAAATTTTTTTCTTTTTTATGTGGAGTCTTTGCTCATCCAAACATACATCTCTGTCATCTACAATGTATTGCCTAAACAAGGAAATTTAGTTGCTGTCTTATCTCTAGAATTCCAGGAGCTATTGATCGAAGAAAGATCGGAAGTCGAGTTTGAGGTCATGTCACTTAGCGTAAAGTTCTTTTCCCGGAGATTTGTTGACACGAGGATAGGGCCACATATAGGAGGTGAAAGAAGTGCTAGCCTGGAAGTCTCCAATTTTTTATGAATATTCTCTGCAAGGTGGGGTCGAACGACCTCAGGAAAAAAGCAGACTTTGTCTTGCTTTACTTTCAAATTGAACGCGTCGCCATTGCGCTGTGGATGCTGATCTTCTTCAGTGACCCTGGTATTACTGGGCGGCGGTTCCCAGCGTAAGGTCACTCTCGTGCTCATACAATATCTCGGAAGGGTCGGACTCAAAGGGGGTTCGGCTTTTGCTGTCAGAACTCCCGAACCCTTCATGCTAAGCTGCTGCTTGTTGGAGATTTGCTAGTACACTTCACCCAGTCCAGAACCCTGATGCATATGCTGGATGATCACTGTAAGGAACTAAGAGAGATCAGAAGGAACATGATGATGTCAGATCGTGTGTGGAGCTGTTTCGGGCTCACAGCATACAAGATACAAACTAAATATTTTAAAATCTTTACAACTCTACGTAGATGTCTACATTCCATCAGTTTAATAAGCCGGACATGCTCCAGCAAATGGCGACAAGTTTGTCCAGATCCACCCTCAGTGGCGCTGGGTACAGCAGTGAGATTGCCACTTGAGGGGTAGTTGGAGTGTGGGGTCATCTTCAACTCAAAAGCCAACCTCTCGATAGAGTGAATTACAAGCAGACCGCGGATTGAGGGAGCGTGCCCTCGCCTATCCGCTGGTTGATTCTCTATGTTGTTGGGCGTTTGAAAGATCCTAATCAGAAGTGATTAAGAGGGGAGCTCAAAAATAGGTTCCAGAAAAATTGAAGTATCAGCCACGGAAGGCAGCATGTACAATGGGCCGAGTAATTGCTCAGGTAGGATAATGTGGATGCTACTTCGCAAAACATGTTTCATGCCTTCACCATTTTTCTTGGATTTTTAATAACAATAAATGTAAAGTGATTCACTAATTATGGGACAACCTAATATTTGAAAAATTTCCCGTAATGGGAACATTTTTCACAGGTAAAGATTCAGAATATGAGTCTAAGAAAGCAGGAAATCTTAAGAAAAGAAGGCAAGCGCGCAGGTGGTTGAGGAGGTGCAGGGTCAACCGTAGTCAACGAGGGTGGGGTCGTTTTGAGAATGGAAAAAAAGGTCGGGATCGTATTTTCGCGAGGGTAGCTTAAGGTTACAGTTAAGAGTACGGAGAGGATGATACAGTTTGTTGGCGCGCTAAAATTTCTCCGCTTCACGGTGTGCATATGGTTCTCTAGAATGGGAAGGTGGTCGTAAAATTTTCGAAATAGGTCCAACGTGACGGTTGACCCTGAGTGAAGGGCGGGGGGCAGTCGCCGCGCGCGATTTCATGGTGAAACAATTTCCCTGCTCGCGTAATCGGACGTAGGGGCCTCGGGCAGGGGGAGGAGGAATCGCAGGATCATTGCGATTTCTATCTTCGCTAAAGGTTCCTGCCCATCTAGGCTTAAGATACTACAGGGTCTTCGGGATGAGCAGTTGATCGGCGCGCGCAGGCGACTCCCCACCCCCTGCACCGGATGCAGAACGCGTCTTCAGTTGGGGGTCGCACAAAAGCGCCCAATTTCCGTCGCATGTTTTTAGCAGTCTTCACGAGCTCAGAAAACGAATCTATGCTTCATACTCCCTGTGCATGTTTCTATAACGTGCATAGGACCGCTTCGAAAACGCGCTCCATGTCCTGAAAGACTTCCCTTGTAAGACATTTGGAAGAGTCAAAATCATAAGCACCAACATAAAATGGACTAGAAAAGGCACTACAAAAATACTTGAAAATGGTGATACTAAACACAATATGAATGTAAGAGAACAGAGAAGAGCAAATTACAATATATAAAGTACAAAAGAATTAAATGGACAAAAGAACTCACCAGAGGGGATTGAGTATTGCTTTACAATTTGCTTTCTGGCAAAGAACAGGATCATACTCGAGAGGGGGTTGCTGAGGCTGATCTGCCGGCCTTTCCTGAAAGCACAAAAATAAGGTAGAAAAATGAGATGCTGCCAGGGACAGAAGATTATCTGCCATATGCGGGTGATAAAATGCAAATCACTTTGGAGCAGTTCGAAAGCAAAACTGGATATAAAACAGGCCTATGTGACAGTAGTGAACTAAGCCGGCAAACCAAAAAAATAGGGGTTAGCGTCAACAAAACATGCATTTCAAACGAATAAACTCCGTAGGAGTTGTTTAAATCTAACCTCACAAAGTTCATTGTTTACCTAGCTATGGAAAGAATTTATTGCTACTTACTATACCCAGCGATTCGCTATAATCCACACCTATTTAAAATACAGTAATTTCAGAAGCTAGTTTCACACGCACCCTATGAGAACACCCAAGGATGAGTAGGGAAACTTTTAATCTCATTGCAATCATAAGGTAAGGGAAATCTCAGATAAAAAAAGGAAAGACAAAAATCCCAACAAAAGCAAGGGGAAAAAACAAATAGCTGCATAATTAAGCTATGAGATCATGTCGAAAAATTTCGACTTTTCAAATTATTTATGTGTCTATATGTATGAAACAGCTCCGTTCCCCAGTGAACTACGTTCAAAAAGGGGAATTTCGAGCGGAGTGAAAGCAAAACATTTCTCTGGGGAACGGAGCTGTTTCATACATATGACACAGACACATACATAATTTGATTAGTCGAAATTTTTCGACATGATCTCATAGCTTAATTATTCAGCTATTTGTTTTTATTTTGACAGATGGTTTTCCTGAAATTGAAGTAGGGTTGAGCTGACTATAGCTCAGGACATTCATTGTTGAGTTTTCTATGGAATAGGGGTATAACTCTAAAAGATCCAACCACAGTTCACGTGTGGTTGGTAGTGATTCCGCCAGAGAGCGAATTAAAGAAGAACCGTCAACCAAATCGTCAAATGTGAGACAGTTTTGTCAAATAGGATCTGTTCAAATGAATCACTCTACTTACTAGGCTTGCTTTCTATTTAGAAGGTTTTTTATTAGAAACCAACCGCAAGTCACTTTGCAAAGCCAAAA